TGTTATGTTTACCTCCAGCTATTTAATTTTTTTTTTTGGTGTGATTGTAAATGGGATTGTTTTATTTTCCTTCTGATGCACTGTTGTATACAGCAATGCAACTGATTTTTGTGTATTAGTTTTGTAGCCTGCCACATTACTGCATTCATTTATTATTTTAAATAGCTTTTTTTTATAGTCTTTTACGTTCTTACCATAGAGTGCCATATCATCTGAAAATAGTGTTTTCCTTTCTTTTACAATTTGAACAGTGATTGTCTTTTCCTTGACTAATTGTTTCTTCCTTCTAATACTATGTTGAACAATAATGGTGACAGCGGACAACCTTGTCTTGTTCCTGATATTAGTGGCTACTGGCACATCTTATAAAACATTTTGCATCACTAAATATGCCTGATTGGTGGACTTTAATAGAATGTGGAAAAATTCTAATAAGCATTGTGTCGTGGATTAATTAGCATTTTTTTCTTCCAGTGGTCCAAAACCAATTGCATTTCTCAGAACCAAAGGCTCAAATTGATAACATATGGCATGATGCTTTGGATTTTCAATAACAATCCTTGAGGTCCTAGTCGTCTATTTGTATTAGTTGTCTTCACCTCTCCATTAAGTTAAAACTCTCTAATTCCTACTACAGTATCTGTAACATAATAGATGTTCAATAATATCAGTTGAAAGAATTGTTGAAATGTTCATGCTCAACAAATAGCTCTACTAAGATTCTAACTCTCAACCTGGATATGTCCATTTTCAGAACTGATTTTGAATTGTTTGAGATTAAATTATTACTGTGAAATGCTGCTCACTGGAAAGATCCTTTTAAATAACAGTCTCAAGTAATATTTTTTTTCCTGAGGATATTAGGATGAGCAAAATTAATTTCCTATGTATTATGTAAACACATCTTGCTGGATTGTTTCAGACCTAATTTTTTATGTTTATTACTTCATGGTTTTTTTTGATTAAATTCTCAACCTCTTAAAATCATTGACTATTGTGACATCAAAGAATAGAGTTAAGGAAATGGTCAAAAGAAACTTTGTTAAGTTACATATGAAGAACACTAGGTTCATCAAATTATCCTATTCAGATGGCAATCCAGATATCACAAGCCAAGTCATCGGCGCCTAATTATTTTAAAACTGATACACTGCTTAATTGTTTTAAAATATATAAAATATATTAAGAGTTGAAAAAGATATATATATATATATATCTATCTTAAGAGTACTCTCTTGTTTCCTACAAATGAATGAAATTCATCAACTCTTGTTAGAATAGTTCCATTTTAACAATTTAGGCTCTTGTTTAAGCCAGAGTCACCAATCTTTCAGAAGGTTTCATATAGCTTATTCATACCCTTTTAAACAGGAACCACAACAGTTCTTGAAAAACAGCAGCAAAAAGCAAGCTTTTTCCCACTTATCTCTTTTGACCAGAAAAATTTCTCCTAGCCCTTGACTGCAACAGGATAGAGTTTAGCACACACTATTCAACTAGTTTTCCCCTTAGAATTGCAAGAGCTCACTGTTTCTTCAGTTGAGTATGATGAAATAGTTGGCTTACATTTAGGGGCCACATTTTAGAAAAATAAACCTAGAATCACAGAGATTGAGTGAAGTTTCATTTTTTCTATCTCATGTTAAACTCAAGGAGAACTGTGGTTATCTCTGGCACTATTTAGTTTCCCTTTTAATTTTTTGTCAAACATAGTTGAAGTCAAGCAATTTAAAAATTAGCATATGATACAAATCCAGTGTTACTGACATTGTTATCACATTTATAGATCTTTTCCTTTTAGTTTGCAGATTTTAGTTGTTCTTCTAAGAAATATAGTAATTCTGGGTGGTAGGTTATTTACTGAGTACTTTAGATGCTAGACATATACATATTCTTAATGTATATGTAATTTTTAAAAAGACTTATTTACTTATGCATACAGGAACTGGGGTACAGGCCAGAGGTGCAGGTGAGAGGATTCACCAGAGACAGAGTGGGGAGAACAGGCAGAGAAATGAAATGCACTGCTGAGGGGAGCAGCATGAGAGATCAGCTGTGCCATGTGGGTGGTTACCCCCTGGCCAGGGATATACAAAATGGTTGTGGACAGCTTCATCATGCGCCAACAGGGAGGGCCCTAAGCATGTAATTCTTAATCATTGTAAGGTTCACTTGAAAGCTTTTTAAAAATGAGGTGATATGGGGACGCTTTAGTTCTGGGGATGGGAATTTTGTATATTTATTATTTTAAAACTCTATGGGTGATGCTGATGTGCACTTCCTGGCCTAGCACCATGGCTTTAAGCCATCAACAACTAATGGCTTAATTGTCAAACAGAATCATTAAGAATAAACTGGGACTATTTCACAACTTGTCTAAGGATCATTTGTCAATGCTTCTTGGTTCTGTTGTCTTATTGATTTGCTGCCTTTGTACATCCTGATTTCTCTCCTGCTTCTTAGACCTCTGTTCAGTTTTTAGTTTCTGAAGTGGAAACATGTCCTTTGCTATCAGGTGCCTTCACATGCACTGGTTCTGGATTATATGCTCCAGCTTGGCTCAACCTGGTTCTCCTGCTCTTTGCATCGGATTGTGCTCTACCATACATTTCAATTTAAGAACCTACTATGACAGTCTGTTAACTCCACTGAATGAAGGAAGACACATAATGGCCTCACTGCAAATGATTTCAAATAACTAATAGTTAAAGCCATCACAAATACATGTTCATCTACTTCAGTAATTTGATGCCCTTCAAACACGGCTTTGTACTGAGCACCCCAACTGAAAGCTTAGCCTAGAATACTGTCTAAAACTGATCTTTCTAGAACTTACACTATTCTTCATATATCGGGTGCTCCACCCTATCTGAACTTCTTTGTTTCTGAGAAGGCCGTTTTAACAATGTTACACTAACTTACTTTCTTCAATACTTTTTAATATCTTAAAGGGGTTTTTCAACAGCTGCTTTCTCTTCCTTTACCCACACCGCCAAATCCTACTGATCCTTTTAAGCAGTGTTTCTCAACCGTAGAAAATGTAAAAGAAATTCTATGGTTCTAGAGAATACATTTTTGAACATGCACAAGACCTGATATAGAAAAATAAAGACCAATTCTATGAAGATCTTTTGCTTGCAAATTTTCACTTTCAAAATTTTTGTCTTTATAACTGGTTAAAAACAACAACAAAACAACTACTGTATACTGTCATCAAAATGAAAACACAAATTTTCAAGTATCAAAAATCACTGACTCTTATCTCCAAGTCTGTGTTCCCAGTTTGAGAAATACTGGTTTAAGGCAAAGCTTAAATATGACTTTGGAAAATGTTCTTTCATCACCCCAAGGTAGTATATTTTTCCCATTTCTGAATTATTTAATGGCAAGTCCCTTTCTGCACTGTAGAAGCTAATAATATGTCTAATATTTTTCTAGAAAAACCATAGCTCTTTGAAGGGACCATATTTTTTTAAAAACCCCACTTTTGCCCAGTATACAGTGGGTACTAAGAGTTGTATTTCATCTTATAGTCCAAATCTCTTTTAAAAAGGTCACTCTTCAGTAGTCCATATAAAATAGCATGCTATTGAAATAGCCCTATTGTAAATTAACACAAAGTTCAGAGATTGTTTTACATATTAGGAAAAGCCCAAGATATAAGATTCAAGATTTTAAAATGCCTTCTAAGTTACCAATTCAACTTGTAATTAACTGACTCAGGCAATATCGTCAGTTTGTCATCTAGTATATCTGAGTGAACTGTTTCCTTCGGGATATAGGACAGGTTTCATTACTTCACAGTAATGAAATTACACATAGGCATGTTTTAACCAAGAACATCTTTCTCCCTCTCACACACACTGTATTTGGGACGAATCTGTAGCAGCATATGGTGAAAGAAAAGCACTGGCAGGGCTATGGGGGAACCCAATTCTGTGTCACCTGAGCAAGCTTACGTATTTTGTTTGGTTTGCTAAGCTTCCTTTCAGCTCTGAAATTGATAATGTAGGGCCATTAACTACACATGGGTTGAGACGTGTTCTTTAACTATGATCGGGCATTTTCCCCTGACGATACAATGGGCAACAAACTGTTTATATATGGTTGGGAGTCTCCCTCACGCCTTTTAAGGCTGAGTTAGGAGAGGAAGGTTTGTGCCCTTTTAGGTGGGTCTCCCTTCAGCAGGACTGCTGGCCTTGGGTTCATAAGACTACTCTGATCGCTACCCCTAGGGCCGAGCAAGCCTCTCGGATAGACAGGCCCCTCGTTCCCACTCCCCAGCCCGGGCGTTACGACTAGCAGAGATTAGTCCCAGGTCATAAACAACCTCTCACTTCCCCTCCCCCGCCCCGGGTCCGCCCGCGCTGGGGCGGCCCTCTGAGGCCCGAGGAACCTCCGCCAGCTACCGCGGAGCCAGAGCCCTCCCGGCTGGGCGATCGCAGGCTGCTTCTTTTTTTCCAAGCCGGTGTTTGATCACTCTACTCATCTTCCTCCTCAGTACGCCACCGGGGAAGGGGTTTGCTCCAGCGACCTCAGAAGGGGAGGTGAGGCCGGCCTCCATTTCCCTTCCCCCGACCCCGATCACCTCCAACAGCCAAAGGGGGGGGGGCAGCCCCGAAGCGCAGACTCACAGCCGCGGCCTCCCAGCGCGCGCTGACGCGGCCCCCACCCCCACCCCCACCTCGCGGTCCGTCCACGCCCCTTCCCGGAGCCCGCCTCCAGGTCTGCCCGCCCGCCTGCTCGTCCCTCGCGCTCGCTCTCGCGCGCACCCGACGCCCCGCCTCCGCGCGTGCTCAATAACTGTCCCCGGAGCCAGCCTACAAGTTCCCCCCGCCCCTGAGCTGTTTGAATATGCTAATGAAAGGCTTGGGGATAGCCAATAGAATGGCGGGGCGGCGCATCACGTGGCCAGAGGACGTGTCAGGGGGCGGAGTCTCTGCAGCCTCTGCTTGAGTTAAAACCGGAGTGTGAGAAAAGCGCTTCAGTAGCGAGAGGGGCTGAGAAAGTGGTGACACCGCCGGGGTGCGGAGGGAGTCCCTGAAACTTCTCCCAACAGCCCCAGGGCCAATCTCCCCTCAGCCCACTCCCCTCTTCGCCAGCTCCCAGGTCCCCACTCCCTGCACCGGGGGTGGGGTGGGGAGCCAGGCCCGTCTCCCGCTGGGACACACACAGGGGCCGGGAGCGGGGACGGGACCCCCGAGGCGGGGGGGACGCACCGACAGACTGACGGCCGGGCGCCCGCCCCAGCGGGCAGGCAGGCAGGAGGAGGCGGAGGCGGGGGTACGACGGGGAGGACTGGGTCTGGGGAGTTTCCTCTCAACTATCGGGGGAGAAACTCCCCGCAGCCGGAGGAAAGACCAGACGGTGTTTTCCTCCCGGGGGCCGCGCTCCCCCGCCCCGCGTAGCGGCGGTCGCCGCCGCCACCGGCGCCTCCACCTCTACCATCTCTTTCTCCACCACCTCGGGCCCCGGTGTCCCCGGCCAGCACTATGCCCATCTTACTGTTCCTGATAGACACGTCTGCCTCTATGAACCAGCGCAGCCATCTGGGCACCACCTACCTGGACACGGCCAAAGGCGCGGTAGAGACCTTCATGAAGGTACTGACTGACCGAGCCCGGGCGGCGACCCCGGCCCGGCGGCCCGCGGGCGGCA